TCATGTGGGTGGGATACCGATGGGTTGTGGTGGACAGTATGAGCTAGCTGCTTCCTTCTCTTTGCGCGCTATCTAGTCCTCAATTGGTTCTTCCTCCTCTGCTTGAGTGGTTCTCCATGGTTCTACTAGTGTGCTGCTTCCTGCTTCCCAGCTTGTGGTGGTGGATGCTGCAGTTCCCCATCCCGCTGCGCCAGTTCTAGATCCCCATCCGTGATTGGCGGCTGCTGTAGCTGCCGCTGCTTCAGCGTATGCACGTCGGCTGTTCTTTGCTTCTTCCAATGGTTGGAGTTTGGCGGAGTTCATGTTGTGGCGAGAACAGGGGCGGGTAGTGTGATATGTTTCCCAGGTCAAGGGCGGAGAATTGTTGTATGCATCAAACGTACCAGGGTGTAGCGTGTAAGGAGGTGAAGGCGGTCATGGACTGTAGGGTCAGTTGAATCTTGCAAGGTTGGAAATTTGTGAGAGCAGAAGCAAGTTGAGCATCTTTCATGCCTGAAGGGTGAGGGGTCCACCATTCTACCCCCTCAATGATGTCTAGAGGGGCTGGAACCTCTGCTGCCACTGCTTCCTCATCAATTTTCGCCTTGCCCTTCTCTTCAGCCGTTGCTCTCCGCTTCTCCCCTTCAGCTGGTACCTTGCCCTTTTCTTCTGATGGCGCTTTCCCTTTCTTTGCTTTCCAATCTGTGGTGGAGGCTGTTGGTGTGTGGTAATTTCGGTAGAGGCCATCAGGCACAGGTGCATGTAGGTCTATTTCCCTAGGGTGGGCGTGGTGTTTGACCCAGGGGCGCCCATCAGGATGCACGGGTCCTTTAAAGCCCATGTTGTGCTAAGGTTGGAGACCAATGAGATCATCAGAGTCGGCGCGGCAATCTAGGATATCAAAATATAGGATGTAGATGCTGTTTTCAGGGCACGCCTTGCCGATCGAGCACGATTAGTTGCCAGGGCGGGTGTAGTCTTTCCAGTGTATCAAGATGTGCACAGATAACCACTACAACGAGATCTAGACTACGGGCTAGGCACGGGTGCTCGTAGTTATCTCCGCATGGTGCGGTGAACGTGGATGGCAGACGACTTACCTTTCAGTCTAGTCGACGTAAGGGTCACTTACCTGATTCGTGTTCGTAGGCCGGCAGCTGTGCAGTAGTCACTATGGTAGGGGCCGTAGGTGACGCAGGGGTGGTGGACACCCTGGAGGCACGGCTGGAGAACGCGAGGAGACGGCACGGGGCCAAAGAGTATGGCGACCTGCCCTGGGCGGTCATCGAGGCTGGCATCTGCGCAGTGTGGGCGATAGAGCACCCTCCCTCTTGGCCTACTTCTCCTCGACCGGTGAACACAGATGGCGGCGTTGACTCCGAGTCGGCAGCAGTGCGGGAGGCACGTCACGGCAGCGTGGTGTGATTCACGCTGATGAATTCGGCGGCGTTCAGGTGGGAGAGATGCGGTCGTAGGTTGCTGCAGACTCCTCGCAGGGCGACGTCGGAGGACATCGAAGCGGTTTGTCGCCGATGTGGGTGACCCACGTGACAGCGGGCGGGATTGCACCGAGCTACAGCTACTTCAAGTTTACGCTGGACAGGATCTCGGTTACCCCCCTGCTGGTCGGTCGACCCGCCATACTCACGTGGAAGGAAGCCATCAAGCCCCAGCTCAAGATGGCCGGGCTGATCGGCTTCGCCCGCGGCATCGTGGCGACGCCAGAGGAGCACTACCCCGACTTGCGCATACTTTCGTGTTGTGCAGTTGCTGACCTTCATGGTCATCTCGCGGTGCTGCTCGCCGGGCGTGCAGATCGCCTTGAAGTCATGCAGCTAGTACCTCGACGCCGGCCACCAAGCGTGGCACTTCATCGAGTCGACGTACCAGGTCACTGACGACCTGTACATCGGCCAGCTTGAGGAGCAGCTGTCGCACATACAGATGGGCGAAGATGAGTCGGCGACCGACTACTGCAACCGGGATCGACGAATTCTTGCCACCATGAGGATGGCCGGCGTGCAATACTCAACGACGTCGTACCTCAACCACGTCATCAAAGGGCTCACAAGCAGCTACAACCTGCTGAAGCGGCTGTCGATCGCGCCGAGCACGCGGGCGACGCTCAACGAGGTCACCTTGACCTCGTACATCTTGCAGGACGAGGCTGAGCAGTTCCAGGAGCTCTTGGCACAGGTGAACTACGTCGCCCCGGCGAAGCAAGATGGTCGACCAGGGCAGCGTAGGCAGTCTGGCGTCGGTGGTAGCAGTGACTAAAAGCCGGCCAAGGATGCCGACAAGAAGAAGTCGGCCAAGGATAGCGGACGAGGAGGGGGAAGTAGACGTTGGGAGTGCTGGCTGTGCGACGACCCAGACCACCTCTCTTATGAGTGCCCCGACTGCAGTGACTCCGACGACGACGACGCCAGGGGAGGCTGCGGGAGGTCTGGCAGCCGTTGTCCTCGTCAAGGAGGAAACAAGCCGCGCAAGGAGAAGCAGCCGACCAAGTCGACCTCGGCGAAGGACGCCGACTCTTCTGCTGGCGGCAAAGGGGGAGATGACAAGGAGACGTCGTGCTCGCTGGCTGGCGTGGTGGAGCCGATCGTCTTGCTGGCGCCGGAGGCTGGCGAGGACTTCCAGGCGGTGGCAACAGCTGTGCAGGCGAATCCTGCGGTGGTCCTGCTCGGCGGCGGCTGCTTGCGCCACCTGATGGGGACGAAGGAGGCCTTCGTCAACTTGGAGCCGAGCGGCGACGTGAATCACGTGCACGGCTTGAATGGGGCGCTACAGGACGTCCGGGGCAGCGGCACCGTCGCTCTGCAAGGCGCCGATGGGAAGCGGGTGCTCATCCCTAACGTGCTCTATGTGTCGGGCGTGCAGGAACCTGGAGTCATCCGGCCAGCTGAAGGAGAACGGGGTGAAGCTGCAGGACGATGGCGACGGGATGCTGCTCATCTCGACGGCGGGGGACGTGCTTGGTAGGGCGAAGTACTCTGGCCGGGTCCTCTGCACCGACCTTTGAACCTGCTCGGGGAAGCTTACGCCGACCACTACGGAGGTGGTCGCTCTGCGGGCGATCGTCTCCACGACGAAGTCGATGCCGGCGTGCTGGCCATCTTGCACATCGACCTGTGCAGGCCATTCCGGGTGGCTGCCAAGGATAATAGCCTGTACTTCTTGCTATTGAAGGACCGCAAGACCCGCTACGTGTGGGTGAGGCCAGTCGTCAAGAAGTCGGATGCGCTGTTGGAGTTCGTGCAGTGGCTGGCGGTGGCTGAGCGGCAGACGAAGAAGTCGGTGTTGATGCTGCGCTCTAACTAGGGAGGAGAGTTCCTCAGGAAGCGCTTCACCAACTTCGTGAATGGCAAGGGGATCGTCCACGACCTGACTTGCCCGTACACCCCGCAGCAGAACGGCATGGCGGAGCGGGAGATGAGGACGGTGGTGGAGTCGGTGCGGACAATATTGCTGCACATGGGCATGCAGCACCACAGATGGCACCTCGCTCTGCGGCAGGCCGTCTGGGTCCGCAACTGTCTTGAGAGGTCGACGCTGCCACCGGGGACGATGCCATACCAGCTGCTGACCGGGAAGAAGCCCGACTTGTTGCTGGGGCGGGTGTGGGGCTGCATGACATAGTTCTTGGTCCCCGAGCAGCAGCGTGGTGGGAAGCTGAAGCCGAAGGCTCACTGGGGCCTTCATCTCGGCATGTCGAAGGAGAGCAAGGGTTGGGAGCTCCTCGACATTGCCGACAACCAGTTGGTCACCACGTCGGACGTGGTGTTCTACGAGAACATGTCGCTGGAGGTGTGGAAGTCGGAGCACGGGCCGGCGTCGGGACGGACGCCGACCACCCCGCCAACAGACACCTCGACGACGACACTCCCTTTGCTTGCCGATGTCGGTGAGCCTGCTGGTGATGACGTCGAGATGTCCCCTCTCCCTTCCCCTCTCCTGTCCCTCTTGCCCCTCCCCTTGTGGCTGACCTGCGTGGGCTGACTCCAGTGTCGGCCTCCGGCGATGAGGGGAGAAGTGGGACGTCGACTGTGGCGCTGGCCAAGAGCATCGCGGGTGGCCGATGGGACGTCCAGCCAGGCAACGTGAGAGTGAAGTTGACGCCGGCAGAGGAGGAGCAGACCGAGGACGTGCAGCCGACGGTGGTGAAGTCAGCGAAGGGGGCAGCGGCAAAGCAGCAGCAGACAGGGGAGCAAGCAGCAGCGACGCCGACCAACGAGCAGTCGGCGTCCGTGCAATCGGCAAGGGAGCCGACCGCAAGGGAGAAGTCGGCCGGAACCCCGATCGTGGTGGAACAGGACGCTGAGGGCAGCGATGACAGTGACGATGGAGGCGACGCCGAGGAGTCCAGAAACAGCGACGTGGTGGAAGTCCGGGTGGACCACGGCGTACGAGCCGACTTTGGAGGCCGCCTGACATCTTCGTCCCCACTGCCTTCACTACGGTGTACGACGTGGACGACGATGACCTGGCGTAATACGACGCCGAGGACGATGAGGAGCTGCCAGAGCTCGACCCGACATGCACGCCGACCCCGAGCATCGTTGGGACATCTCGACGATGACGGTGGAGGAGGCGTTGGCGACCTGGAAGGGCAAGGCACTAAAGGCCGCCATATAAGAGGAGATCTGCAGTCTCATTGGCATGGGGACGTGGGAGCTGGTCGAACGCCCACTCGGGGTGAACATCATGAAGAACCGGTGGGTGTTGACGAAGAAGTACCACATCGACGACACCGTCGAGCGCGAGAAGGCAAGGCTGGTCGTGAAGGGCTTCACACAGGTGTATGGCGCCGACTACGATGAGACATACACGCCGGTGAGTAGCTACGTCACGCGGAGGATCTTCCTCAGCATCGTCGCCGTCCTCAACCTCAATCTGATGCAGCTCGACATGAAGAACGCCTTCCTGCAGAGCAAGCTCGGCTGAAGCAGTCACCGCTGCTGTGGTACAAAGCTCTCAACGACGTGCTGGTCAGCGCCGGCTAGAAGAAGAGCCAGATCGACATGGCAGTGTACTTCAAGGTCGGCAACGACAAGGTGGCCTGCTGGGTGCTGGTCTACGTTGACGACCTACTCGTTGTCAGCAGTAGTGCCGAGATGCTGAAGGAGCTGAAAGAGCTGATGGAGGCCTCCTTCGAGCTGCGGAAGATCTCGCCGGTGCAGAAGAACCTCGGGCTGGAGATCGTACGCGACAAGCCGACGAGGAAGCTATGGCTGCACCAGCAGGGCTACGCCGACAAGCTGCGAAGGCGGTTCATCGACAAGGAGCAGACCGGGCGCACCTCGAAGACGCCGGTCTCGGTCGACGCCTACGCCGAGCTGACGTTCGATGACGAGGAGGCGCAGGAGCGCCAGGAGGAGGAGTACCGGCAGAAGGTCGGATCGCTGCAGTTCGCGGCGACAACGACGAGGCAAAACATCCCCTTTGCCTGCAGCAAGCTGGGGAGCGGCCTCACGGTGAGGAGCGACCCGCAATGGCGCGAGGTCGGCCGGACGCTGACGACGCCCGCGACAAGCACAAGAGGACAAGCACAGGCGGCTACGTATTCGTCTACAGAGGGGCCGCAGTCTCCTGGTCGAGCCAGCGCATCAAGTGCGCGACGCTGTCGTCGACCGAGTCGGAGTACGTGGCGGCCACGGAAGCCGGCAACGAGGGACATCGCCTTCGCTTCCTCCTCGCAGAGTTACAACAGCTGGATGCCGGGAAGCCGACCGTCCTTCGGGTGGACAACAGGTCGCCCATCACAGTCACCGAGGGCATGGGGTTGACGGGCAACTTCAAGCACATGGAGCGGTGACAGGGTTGGCTGCAGCACATGATGAAGCGCGGGAAGTTTTCGTTGAAGTACATCCCAACCGCTGAGCAGTTAGCCGACTTCCTGACGAAGAAGTTGCACTATCCGGCCTTCAACCAGTGCTCCGTCACAATCAGCGAGGTGCACTTGGCCGACGAGGGCGACGGTGACAACAACGTGCAGAAGTAGGTGCCATGGCCTCTTGCATGGCTGGTGCGGTGACTGGTGTACAGTGTGTGGGGTGCACGCCGACGAGCTATTCTCCGTGGAGTATTGCCATGTGTACTGGGGGCCCAAGTGTGAACGCGGCAGGGGAGAGTCGGGGTAGTGCTCCACGCTCACCGCACCATGCGGAAATAACCACTACAACGGGAGCTAAACTCCGGGCTAGTGTGATCTCTGCGTTCCTTAGTCGTTTTCCTAGTGCACACACTCTTTGCTGGTTCACAAGGCAATTTGGCAAGAGTTTAACTAAGAAAAGTTGACAACAATGGTACAATGAAGTTGGCAAGACAAGACTACATCAAAGCTAGGATGCAGGTCAGTCGACTGCCACCGCAGCATGGTCGACCGCGTGCCAGCACGACTTGGTCGACTGCGCTCCAGCAGTGCAGAGTTGCGGCTTGCCAACGCTGCTGGTCGATGGCGCGACAACAGCGCAAGTCGATGGCATGCCAGCGTTGCTCCCGCAGAACAGCACTGCACCTGCTTCGCAGATGCTCGCAGATGATTGGCGTGCTATGCCTTGTCACCTGCACAGCACACACACCAAATCGTCCTCGTGCTGACGACTGCACCTGATCTGCCACGTCGACCTCAAAATACCACCACCGAGGTCGGTCTCGCCAAAACCGCATGGGCGACCATCGCACTTCTCCGCAGAACCTCGTGACCCAGGTAACATGGTTGACCGGGCAACCACGCCGACCAGCTACTCCTTCATCTGCCCGTCGACCTCCCAAGTCGACGACTACCTCCAGTCGACCTCACCAGGTCGACCACACCTTTGGTCGACCAGCTCCAAGTCAACGACACTCCTGGTCGACCCGCACCAGGTCGACCAGCACTCCTATCAGCCGGCCACCCGAGACGGCTGCCCCAAGTCGGCGACACTCCCGATGCCGACCTCCTCCGCCATAGCCAATGTCGTTGGTCATCTTCTTCTTGTTGACATCCTTGGCTGGTCTTCCACCTTCGCTTCCACCGCTGCCAGGCTTGCCGTGCTACCCTGATCGGCTTCCTTGCTTCGTTGGGGTGGCGTAGTTTGTTTGCGGCAGAAGCTCCATGGACCGCTCGGCCTCCTACATCGCCTCGTCCCGCAGGATGAACAAAGTCAACAAGTCCTCATTGAGCGACGCCCTCATGCACGGTACCACCGCCAACCGCTTCATTATGTTTTAGCTGCTCAGCAAGCCCTTCAAGACGTGCGTGATGTACGACGCCGCGCGCTGGCCATCTGCATGTTGGCGAAAAGTCGCCGAGCCCGGTTGCAGTACTCTGTCGCCGTCTCCTATTCGCCCATCCTCAGGTGAGTCATCCGCTCCTCGAACTGGCCGATGTACAGGTCGTCGGTGACCTGATACGTCGACGTAACCAAGTGCCACGCCTAGTGGCCGGCATCCAGGTAGTCCCGGCACGACTTGTGGGCAATCTGCACACCCGAGCAGCACCGCAAAATGACCGTGAAGGTCACCAGCTCGGGGTTGCTCTCTGGCGGCGTCTCTACGATGCCGTCGGCAAAGCACTTCTGCCCTACCATCTCCAGCTGGGGCTCGATGGCCTCCTTCCACGTGGGGAAGTCGTGACGGCCGACCAGCAGCGGGGCGACGGAGATCCTGTCCGGCAGTCGTAGCTCAGCACAATTCCAACAGCCGTCATCTGGGTCGCTGACATTGGCGTCATACTGCTCTGACGCTGTCCGACGTCGCCCTGCGAGGTCCCTGCAGCCGCCGAGGACTGCAACCTTCACGCCTAAACGCCGCCGACTTCATCGGCGTGAATCACACCTCTCTGCCTCGACGTGCCTCCCGCACTGCTGCCGACCTGATCACAAGCGTTAACGCCCACGCTGACCCCACCCTCGTTGTTCACAGGTCGAGGAGAGGTAGGTCGAGAAGGGTGCTCCGCCGCCCACACGGAGCGGATGCTTGCACGACTACCAAGGGAAGTGTCTCCCAGTACTCGCCAGCCAAGTGGCGTCTCCTCACATCCTCCAGCCATGATTCCAAGGTGTCCACGACGCCCGCCTCAACTACGGGGTCCACCATGGCGTCCAATCACAGCCGCCAGGCATGGGAGCCTGACTATGGGGAAGGAACGTGCGTGAGAGGGATCTCTGCATTCGTTCCTTAGTCGTTTCCAAGTGTTCTCACTACTTGCTGGTTCACAGGGAAAAGTGGCAAGAGTTTCACTAGGAGAAGTTGACAAGAATGAATTATACAACATTCGCATAACAGACAACATCAGAGCTAGCTAGCAGGTTGGTCGACGTCCAGCGAAGCATGGTCGACCGCGTTCCAACGCAGCACTGCCCGCACCGCTCCAGCGCCGCAAAATAGCGGCGCGCCAACGTTGCAAGTTTACGGTGTGCCAGTGCTGCAGTAAACTGGCCGCACAGCACAACGCCCGCATGACAATGGTGCACCCACTTCGCAGGTGCGCATAGCTGGTTGGCGTCCCAAGCCCCGTCACGCACACAGCACTAACAACCCGCCCGTGGCTGCGCCCACCAGCCACGTCGACCACGGGATACCACCCCCGAGGTCGGGCTCGCAGAAGACACCCCCGCGTCTAGCGCCCACGTCGCCCGGGTAACTTGGTCGACCGGGCAACCCCGTCTGGTCGACCTGGCTCCTCCGTCGCCGGCGGCGCGTCTCTTAAAGTCAGCTTTGGAGAATCGGCGCTTCCTAGGTCGGCCTCGCCAGGCCGACCACCTGAACCTGGTGCCACATCAGTTTGGCGCCCTGCTGCTCGGCTGTCCGACACCCGGCGTCCACCTGCCTGGCGTCGAGGCAGCCAGCAATGGTCGACGATGGCGCCTCCCAAGTCGGCGCCTTCTCCGTCGACCCCCCAAGGTGAAGACGGCCGCTGGTTCCCGTACCGACAGCGGCGTTGCAGCGGCCTGACGCCCAAGCCGGCGTTGCCCCACCGCAGCCACCCGACCACGAAGTCGGCTCTGCCCAAGCGAGGACGGGGCCACAACACAACTCTCGTTGTCAGTTCGTATTCGTAAGAGACAAACTCCCCATCTTGCGTCCAAGGGTTGTTGTAGCTGTTGAATTGGACCTGTTGTCTTGGCGGAGGAGGAGAGACATATCGAATGTGTCTTCGACTACTGCGCTGAGTGTGGCGGTGAACCCACATCGCCATGTTGCAGATGACGTGACGAACGTTGTTGTTGTTTTGGGCGGCCTTTCTGAGTCAGGCTGAGGTGGTTTGCGCAGGGCAGACGGATGGTTCGAAGACGGTCAGTTTGCCTAGCGCGAATGGTCGGGGCCGTAGTTTAGGTTTTTGCGCGGCGCGAGGTCTTGTCGCGGTCCTGAGCGGCAGCCTTCTGTGGAGTGTCTGATGGTCTTGCAGTTTTGCAGTAGTATTGACGTCGGCGTGCGTCGCGGGGTCATCGCTGATCGCGATGAGAATAAAAGGCTATTTGCTCGCAGCGCGCTCCCTATTCTTGGTTGATGTCCATGTCTTGTTGCTCGTGCAGCAAGGTGGCGCAGAGGTGCGCTTATGAGATTATGCCCTGCCGGCAAAGCAGGGCTTTGCAGGGGGTCCATGTCAGAAACTACAGGCATAAACGAGAAACAGGAAAGAGGGTTTTCACTAGCAGGCAGTTGAGTACATATAGCAAACCCTAATTTGGGCTATACTCGCTATAGAGTACCCCACTGCAGGCTAGACATACAGTACATTCTGACACACCCCCATAGTCAAAATTGGGTACAATCAGCACAGCAAGCAGTCATAGCAATAGTTCACAATGATACGCAAAGCTAGAGGCTATCACAGAGGGCAAGTGAGGAGGAGGAAAAACTGTGGGGGTGAGAAGATGGGAGGCGACGGCTGAAGCTGCAGACACACGGGCAGCAGGAGTGCGCAGCACTGTCGCTACCAGGCTAAACCCGGACTACACGGCGACAGGCGCAGCTGGCTCGCTGCTTTAAGGAGATCCCCGGAGGAAACCAGGCCCCCTGAGGGGTAGGCGCTTCGAGTAAGCAGCATTACACTCAGCTGTGCAGTGCTCCGCAAACACAAGATTATATTTGATTATGCTTAATATTACACATGTTACAATCTGGAATGTCTATACCGTGTTGCCACGTGTAACCTCCGAGTGCGGTTACGGGGCGGACAAGAGTCGAGACCGTTGACTACCTGCGATTGTTGGCCTTTAAGTGGCTTTCGGGCTGCCGCATGCTTTATATGATCTTAACGCGATACTGGTACAAGGGGCGCTGCCTCGTTGTGAAGTGATGCGCTAAGGGAAACCGTCGGGAATGCAGTTATTGCAACAGTTTTCATAACATGTTTTTGAAACTAGACAGTAGTGACTATAACAATACGATACAGCGGATACATTGGAATACAAGGGAATGTAGTGGCTTTTTGCACTTTGAATACTTCTTGCTTACTACCGTCTCTAAGTAGTGCCATTTTCACTTGGTCTTCACCATCGTTTCAGCCATATTCGTTATGGGATTTTGTAAATTCAGAATTTTCTTGAGAATTCCATATGGTACGGATTGTATTGATCAGCTATAGAAGTATAAAAAAAAAGCTCCTCACACTTGTGTTGTTTCTTATAATCCATGGAGGTATGTAGTTCATGGTATGTATTTCTATAATTACTGAAAAATAGTATTTGTTTCGCACTAACTGTATACTGTGACAAATCACCAGTACCTGGCCTCCCTCACGGCTCCTGAACCGAAGCTGAGCTTGCAGCAAACCAAGCTGCTCAACCAATGGGTGGCGTTCTGAATCTGACAGTCTAGCTGTCCAAAGCATTTTCGAGATTTCCGCTGCTTGGTCTGATTTCGTTTCCACGCGACGCGTTGAAAGTATCTTTCCCTCCCACAACATTTGGTTACAGTACTTGATTTTGTTTCTTTTGTTTCTTGTTCGTGACTTAGAGCCAGTGGGACACCAGCAAGCCAGTTCCTGGCCTCCCTCACGGCTCCCGATCCGAACCGAAGCTGAGCCTGCAGCAAACCATGAGTGGAGTTCTGAATCTGACAGCCTGCCGTCCAAAGCATTTTCGAGATTTCCGCTGCTGGGTCTGATCTCTCGTTTCCACGCGACGCGGTGAAAGTATCTTTCCCTCCCACAAGTCCATTTAGTTTCAGTACTTGATTTTGTTTCTTGATTTTGTTCCTAGGAGCGCTTTCGAAATCAGCTTGGTTCGCGGCGGCCGCCGGTCGAATCAGCAATAGAGCGGGCACCGTGCAGACTCTCTTCACTCACGACACGTTCTCGACTCATAAATCGCCACACGAGGGAGGGAGAGCGGCCAACCTCGCCGGCTCGCGAGTTAGCCGCACTGGCCTCACGGGGCAAACCCTCGCCTCCATGCGGCGCTCCACCCTCGCCTGCCCCGCCTCGCCTCCTGCGACGGCGGCGAGCCGCCAGGGGATGGCGCGAGAGCGGCTGGTAGTACAGCGCGCGCTGGCACTCGCCTGCAGCCTCGCCTCATCCCTCGCCGGCGTGCTCGCCCAGCCGCTCCAGGCCTCGCAAGGTGAGCGGCGATCACAGCGGCGCTCCTCGTTTTCCTTTCTCCTCGTTACTCCCCACTATGTTCAAGTTTGAACATAGTACAGCGGCCTCGGTATTTTGGGATAACCCCCCAAAACCACCCTTCCCTTCTCCTGCGTCCTCCTCCCCCTTCACCAACTCGCAGTGCAAGTCCTGCAGGACTGCCAGAGGGCATGGGGTCAGACGCTCTCTGGTTGGGAGGGCGACAGTCCTGACTGCAGCAGTGCAAAGGGCCTCAGATGCGACAGCAGCGGAATGATCACGTTCATGTGAGCTTCGATCTGCACTCACGAGATAAGAACTAGCGAGTCGAGCCAGGTCCGGCTCGGCTCGCGCGACCCATATTCTGAGCTATCAGGATTGCGGCGTAGTCGCTAGATTTCTCCCCTATTTTGTCGCCTCATACATCATTGTCGCTTGTGCAGATCGCCTGAACTGCAGATTGCACCTGTACGTTCGCGCTCTGCATCCCGAAAATTGATTGTTCAAAACGCCCTGATAGATGCGCTCAAGAAGCAGGCCGCAACCGTCGATGGGATTTGCATATCGCACCCACAAAATGTGTATTTCGTTGCAGTCAAATCGCACACCAGCGCGCTGCAGTCAATGTCGTTAGATATTAGCGGCAATACTCATAATGGAGCGGAGCTGTGTACACTCTGATCTCTATCATCCTAAATTCCTAAAGACTCGACATGATCTGCCATATCTACCAGATATGAGTACCCTAACTTAGGGTCAATGGTAGCAATACGAGTCGTCCTCGCTTGTTCATCATGGCGCGTACCTATGCTTAGTCACTGCCCTGTGGCTGTTTCTCTTCAACGCCCCTGGCCACCTCAAGCATCCTTGCAACGTCTCACGATCTGGCTCTTGGTTTACAGTGAATCCGTTCCATACTCGCATGCTCCATGAACGGACGCCCTTGTCTCTTCCCCCTCCCACCTCCTATACCTCTCATCTCTTTCCCCTACTAGCCCTTGCTCCGCTGCCTTTTCCTCGAACTTTTCTTCAAGACCCCCCCCCTATGCTACAGGGAGGTTTCTCAAATTGGCCTGACAGGACCCATCCCTCCGTCCATTGGCGCATTGACGAATCTTGAACACCTGTCAGTGTTGCTGTGCCTCTGTTTGTCCTTTCAACGATCTGAATATTGGTTGACTGTGAATCTGTTCCGTACCCGCATGCCCATTCACCTGCCTTTACCTCTCCTTCCTGCTAGCATGGACTGTATGGAGACCTTTCACATCGGTCTCTCGCATTCACCGTAATCCGCTCTTCTCTCACTCACCTCCTGAGCGATCTCTAGTCCAACCATCTGCTCACCTGCACACACGCTCTCACCATACCTTCTTGTGTATGTTCCTCTTTTTTTCCATCGATGAACGAGGAGTAGAAGAGGGGGTGTGAGGGGGAGAGTGTGAGGGGTAGCTATTGACCAAGTGGTGAGGCGAAAGTCACTATTAGCCTGTACCGGCAGAGCCGGGAGGATGAGTGCAAATTCACAGTGGCTCTAAGGTTTCGCCATTGTTGTGCGCTACTGTCATTCCTCTCTTTCTCGCCCTGCTGCTCTGAATGCTAGTCTTCTCGATAATATGCTCATGGTAGAAAGCGGTGGGGCTGTATCCAGTGGGGAAAGCGAGTACTTGGCAGCGAGTAGAATGGGGTGTGAGAGCTGCAGATGGCATGTAGGGCACGAAGAGATGGAGTGCAAAGCCAAGTGGACGGTCAGGGCATACAAGGCAACACCCGGCAATCCCTCCTCTCTTGTCTCCATCGCAAGCCTCTTCTTCTCACCCCTGCATGCACAAGACGGAATGAACAGCTCAGCATGGCCACACGCATGCTCCATGCACGCACGTCCTTGTCTCTCCCCCCTCCCACCTCCTATATCTCTCTCATCTCTTTCCCTAACAGCCCCTCATGCTCGCTGCATCCTCCTCATTTTTTCTTCAAGCCCCCTCCCCTATGCTACAGGTCCTTTTGGAACAATCGCTTGACGGGACCCATCCCTCCATCCATTGGCAACTTGCAACGCCTTCGTCAGCTGTCAGTGTTGCTGTGCCTCTTTTTCTTCTCAACGCCCCTGGCCTCCTCACTCGTCCTATCAACGTCTCACGATCTGACTCTTGAATGACTGTGAATCTGTTCCGTACCCGCATGCCCATTCACTTTCCTTTTCCTCACCTTCCTGCTAGCATGGACTCTGTGGAGACCTTTCACATCGGTCTCTCGCATTCACCGTAATCCGCTCTTGTCTCACTCACCTCCTGAGCGTTCTTGAGACCAACCATCTGCTCACCTGCGCAATCGTTCTCAACATACCTTCTTGTGCATGTTCTCCTTGCTTTGTGTGTATGAACGAAGAGTAGAAGGGGGGGTGTGAGGAGGGGAGTGTGAGGGGTAGCTATTGACCAAGTGGTGAGGCGCAAGTCACTACTAGCCTGTACCGGCAGAGCCAGGAGGACGACTGCAAATGTAAAGAGCCTGCATGGCTTCGGCTTTGTTGTGCGCGTTTGTTTTTTGTATTATTTCTTGCCCTGCTCCTCTTTATGCTAGTCTTTTCCAAATGATGGTCGTGGTGGAAATCGCTGGGGCTGTATCCAGTGGGGAAAGCGAGTACTTGGCAGCGAGTAGAATGGGGTGCGAGAGCTGCAGATGGCATGTAGGGCACGAAGAGATGGAGTGCAAAGCCAAGTGGACGGTCGGCGCATACAAGGCAACACCCGGCAATCCCTCCTCTTTTGTCTCCATCGCAAGCCTCTTCTTCTCACCCCTGCATGCACAAGACGGAATGAACAGCTCAGCATGGCCACACGCATGTTCCATGCACGCACGTCCTTGTCTCTCCCCCCTCCCACCTCCTGTATCTCTCTCATCTCTTTCCCTACCAGCCCCTCATGCTCCGCTGCCCTTTCCTCAACTTCTCTTCAAGCCTCCTCCCCTGTGCTACAGGCACCTTGGCGGCAATCTCTTGACAAGACCCATCCTTCCATCCATTGGCAACTTGCAACGCCTTCGTCAGCTGTCAGTGTTGCTGTGCCTCTTTTTCTTTTCAACGCCCCTGGCCTCCTCACTCGTCCTATCAACGTCTCACGATCTGACTCTTGGTTGACTGTGAATCTGTTCGGTTCCCGCATGCCCATTCACCTGCCTTTACCTCTCCTTCCTGCTAGCATGGACTCTGTGGAGACCTTTCACATTGCTCTCTCGCATTCACCGTAATCCGCTCTTGTCTCACTCACCTCCTGAGCGTTCTTGAGACCAACCATCTGCTCACCTGCGCAATCGTTCTCAACATATCTTCTTGTGTATGTTCCCCTTGCTTTGTGTGTATGAACGAAGAGTAGAAGGGGGGGTGTGAGGGGGGGAGTGTGAGGGGTAGCTATTGACCAAGTGGTGAGGCGAAAGTCACTACTAGCCTGTACCGACAGAGCCAGGAGGACGACTGCAAATTTACAGAGCCTGCATGGCTTCGGCTTTGTTGTGCGCGTTTGTTTTTTATATTATTTCTTGCCCTGCTCCTCTTTACGCTAGTCTTATCCAAATGATGGTCGTGGTGGAAATCGGTGGGGCTGTATCCAGTGGGGAAAACGAGTACTTGGCAGCGAGTAGAATGGCGTGTGAGAGCTGCAGATGGCATGTAGGGCACGAAGAGATGGAGTGCAAAGCCAAGTGGACGGTCAGGGCATACAAGGCAACACCCGGCAATCCCTCCTCTCTTGTGTCCATCGCAAGCCTCTTCTTCTCACCCCTGCATGCACAAGACGGAATGAACAGCTCAGCATGGCCACACGCATGCTCCATGCACGCACGTCCTTGTCTCTTCCCCCCCCCACCTCCTGTATCTCTCTCATCTCTTTCCCTACCAGCCCCTCATGCTCCGCTGCCCTTTCCTCAACTTCTCTTCAAGCCTCCTCCCCTGTGCTACAGGTACCTTCACAACAATAACTTGACAGGTTCGATCCCTTCATCTATTGGCGCATTGACAACCCTTCAAATCCTGTTAGTGTTTCTGTGTCACTGTTTCTCCTCAACGCCCCTGGCCTCCTCACTCATCCTTTCAACATCTCACGATCTGACTCTTGGTTGAATGTGAATCTGTTCCGTACCCGCATGCCCATTCACCTGCCTTTACCTCTCCTTCCTGCTAGCATGGACTCTGTGGAGACCTTTCACATCGGTCTCTCGCATTCACCGTAATCCGCTCTTGTCTCACTCACCTCCTGAGCGTTCTTGAGACCAACCATCTGCTCACCTGCACACACACTCTCACCATACCTTGTCGTGTGAGGTCCCCTTGCCTTTGCTCTCTTTCTCGCCCTGCTGCTCTTTATGCCAGTTTTTCCAAATTATGCTCGTGGTGGAAAGCGGTGGGGCTGTATCCAGTGGGGAAAGCGAGTACTTGGCAGCGAGTAGAATGGGGTGTGAGAGGTGCAGATGGCATGTAGGGCACGAAGAGATGGAGTGCAAAGCCAAGTGGACGGTCAGGGCATACAAGGCAACACCCGGCAATCCCTCCTCTCTTGTCTCCATCGCAAGCCTCTTCTTCTCACCCCTGCATGCACAAGACGGAATGAACAGCTCAGCATGGCCACACGCATGCTCCATGCACGCATGTCCTTGTCTGTCCCCCCTCCCACCTAGTATATCTCTCTCCTATCATTCCCCTTCCAGCCGGTCATGCTCGCTGCCCTTTCCTCAACCTTTATTTTTTCAACCTCCCCCCCTGTGTTATAGGAACCTTGCCGACAATCTCTTGACAGTAACCATCCCTCCATTCATTGGCGAATTGCAACGCCTTCGTGAGCTGTCAGTGTTGATGTGCCTCTGTTTCTCCTCAACGCCCCTGGCCTCCTCACTCATCCTTTCAACGTCTCACAATCTGACTCTTGGTTGACTGTGAATCTGTTCCGTACCCGCATGCCCATTCACCTGCCTTTACCTCTCCTTCCTGCTAGCATGGACTCTGTGGAGACCTTTCACATCAGTCTCTCGCATTCACCGTAATCCGCTCTTGTCTCACTCACCTCCTGAGCGTTCTTGAGACCAACGCATATGCTCACCTGCACACACGCTCTCACAATACCTTGTGTATGTTCCCATTTCTTTCCGTCAATGAACGAGAAGTAGAAGAGGGGTGTGTGAGGAGCGGAGTGTGAGGGGTAGCTTTTGACCAAGTAGTGGGGCAGAAAGTCACTACTAGCCACTACAGGCAGATCTGGGAGGAGTGCAAATTTACAGTGGCTTTAAATCTTCAGCTTTGTTGTGCGCTTTTCACTTAGCTATACTTCTCGCCCTGATCCTCTGTATGCCAGTCTTTTCCAAAATTGCTCATGCTGGAATGCGCTGGGGCTGTATCCAGTGGGGAAAACGAGTACTTGGCAGCGAGTAGAATGGGGTGTGAGAGCTGCAGATGGCATGTAGGGCACGAAGAGATGGAGTGCAAAGCCAAGTGGACGGTCAGGGCATACAAGGCAACACCCGGCAATCCCTCCTCTCTTGTCTCCATCGCAAGCCTCTTCTTCTCACCCCTGCATGCACAAGACGGAATGAACAGCTCAGCATGGCCACACGCATGCTCCCGGCACGCACGTCCTTGTCTCTCCCCCCTCCCACCTCCTGTATCTCTCTCATCTCTTTCCCTACCAGCCCCTCATGCTCCGCTGCCCTTTCCTCAACTTCTCTTCAAGCCTCCTCCCCTGTGCTACAGGTACCTTCACAACAATAACTTGACAGGATCGATCCCTTCATCTATTGGCGCTTTGACAACCCTTCAAATCCTGTTAGTGTTTCTGTGTCACTGTTTCTCCTCAACGCCCCTGGCCTCCTCACTCATCCTTTCAACATCTCACGATCTGACTCTTGGTTGAATGTGAATCTGTTCCGTACCCGCATGCCCATTCACCTGCCTTTACCTCTCCTTCCTGCTAGCATGGACTCTGTGGAGACCTTTCACATCGGTCTCTCGCATTCACCGTAATCCGCTCTTGTCTCACTCACCTCCTGAGCGTTCTTGAGACCAACCATCTGCTCACCTGCACACACACTCTCACCATACCTTCTCGTGTGAGGTCCCCTTGCCTTTGCTCTCTTTCTCGCCCTGCTGCTCTTTATGCCAGTTTTTCCAAATTATGCTCGTGGTGGAAAGCGGTGGGGCTGTATCCAGTGGGGAAAGCGAGTACTTGGCAGCGAGTAGAATGGGGTGTGAGAGGTGCAGATGGCATGTAGGGCACGAAGAGATGGAGTGCAAAGCCAAGTGGACGGTCAGGGCATACAAGGCAACACCCGGCAATCCCTCCTCTCTTGTCTCCATCGCAAGCCTCTTCTTCTCACCCCTGCATGCACAAGACGGAATGAACAGCTCAGCATGGCCACACGCATGCTCCATGCACGCACGTCCTTGTCTCTCCCCCCCCCCACCTCCTGTATCTCTCTCATCTCTTTCCCTACCAGCCCCTCATGCTCCGCTGCCCTTTCCTCAACTTCTCTTCAAGCCTCCTCCCCTGTGCTACAGGTACCTTAATAACAACCTCTTGACAGCACCCATCCCTTCATCCATTGGCGCATTGAATAATCTTGAATGGCTGTCAGTGTTGATGTGCCTCTGTTTCTCCTCAACACCCCTGGCCTCTTCACTCATCCTTTCAACGTGTCACGATCTGACTCTTGGTTGACTGTGAATCTGTTTCGTACCCGCATGCCCATTCACCTACCTTTACCTCTCCTTCCTGCTAGCATGGACTCTGTGGAGACCTTTGACATCGGTCTCTCGCATTCACCGTAATCCGCTCTTGTCTCACTCACCTCCTGAGCGTTCTTGAGACCAACCATCTGCTCACCTGCGCAATCGTTCTCAACATACCTTCTTGTGTATGTTCCCCTTGCTTTGTGTGTATGAACGAAGAGTAGAAGGGGGGGTGTGAGGGGGGGAGTGTGAGGGGTAGCTATTGACCAAGTGGTGAGGCGAAAGTCACTACTAGCCTGTACCGGCAGAGCCAGGAGGACGACTGCAAATTTACAGAGCCTGCATGGCTTCGGCTTTGTTGTGCGCGTTTGTTTTTTATATTATTTCTTGCCCTGCTCCTCTTTACGCTAGTCTTATCCAAATGATGGTCGTGGTGGAAATCGGTGGGGCTGTATCCAGTGGGGAAAGCGAGTACTTGGCAGCGAGTAGAATGGGGTGTGAGAGCTGCAGATGGCATGTAGGGCACGAAGAGATGGAGTGCAAAGTCAAGTGGACGGTCAGGGCATACAAGGCAACACCCGGCAATCCCTCCTCTCTTGTCTCCATCGCAAGCCTCTTCTTCTCACCCCTGCATGCACAAGACGGAATGAACAGCTCAGCATGGCCACACGCATGCTCCATGCACGCACGTCCTTGTCTCTCCCCCCTCCCACCTCCTATACCTCTCTCATCTCTTTCCCTACCAGCCCCTCATGCTCCGCTGCCCTTTCCTCAACTTCTCTTCAAGCCTCCTCCCCTGTGCTACAGGTACCTTCACAACAATCTCTTGACAGGACCCATCCCTCCATCCATTGGAGAATTGCGATCCCTTATATGGCTGTCAGTGTTGATGTGCCTCTGTTTCTCCTCAAAACCCCTGGCCTCCTCACTCATCCTTTCAACGTCTCACGATCTGACTCTTGGTAGACTGTGAATCTGTTTCGTACCCGCATGCCCATTCACCTGCCTTTACCTCTCCTTCCTGCTAGCATGAACTCTGTGGAGACCGTTGACATCGGTCTATCGCATTCACCGTAATGCGCTCTTGTCTCACTCACCTCCTGAGCGTTCTTGACACCAGCCATCTGCTCACCTGCACACGCACTCTTACCATACCTTCTTGTGGAGGTTCCCCTTTTTTTATGTCTTTTAACGAGGAGTAGAAGCGGTGGTTGTGAGGGGAGGAGTGTGAGGGGTAGCTTTTGACCAATCAGTGAGGCGGAAAGTTACTACTAGCCACTACCGGTAGAGCCAGGAAGACGAGTGGAGATTCACATTGGCTGTAAGGCTTTGGCTTTGTTGTGCACTTTTGCGTTTCATCTGTTTCTTGCCCTGCTGCTCTTTATGCTAGTCTTCTCCAAATTATGCTCGTGGCGTAAAGGGCTGGGGCTGTATCCAGTGGGGAAATCGAGTACTTGGCAGCGAGTAGAATGGGGTGTGAGAGCTGCAGATGGCATGTAGGGCACGAAGAGATGGAGTGCAAAGCCACGTGGACGGTCAGGGCATACAAGGCAACACCCGGCAATCCCTCCTCTCTTGTCTCCATCGCAAGCCTCTTCTTCTCACCCCTGCATGCAGAAGACGGAATGAACAGCTGAGCATGGCCACACGCATGCTCCCGGCACGCACGTCCTTGTCTCTCCCCCTTCTCACCCCCTATACTTGTCTCATCTCTTTCTCTACCAGTCCCTCATGCTTCAGTGCTCTTTCTCTCAGAAATAGAGCTTAGATTTGATTCATCAATAATGAGCTTGAAGCTCTTTAAGTACATGCAGATGAGCAAGTTATGGATGGGGAGGGAATCGGGGGCAATACATCTAGGGTTTGACGGTAATCCCAAGGCAATCTCCAATTGGTGGGTACGAGATATATTGGAGATCACATTAGGGTTTGGTTGGGATGTGGGTGTACACCCAACCGAACACAAAGTGCAAACTTCACTAAACCAGGATATAAGAAGTACAAGTACAGAAGAGTGGAATTGAAGGCTTACACTAACACTTTTCCTCAACTTTTCTTCAAGCTTCCTCCCCTACGCTACAGGAGGCTTAACAACAATCTCTTGACAGGACCCATCCCTTCATCCATTGGCGAATTGCGAAGCCTTATATGGCTGTCAGTGATGATGTTCCTCTGTTTCTCCTCAACGCCCCTGGCCTCCTCACTCATCCTTTCAACGTGTCAAGATCTGACTCTTGGTGGACTGTTAATCTGTTCCGTACCCGCATGCCCATTTACCTGCCTTTACCTCTCCTTCCTGCTAGCATGGACTCTGTGGAGACCGTTGACATCGCTCTCTCGCATTCACCGTAATCCGCTCTTCTCTCACTCACCTCCTGAGCCTTCTTGACACGTGCCATCTGCTTACCTGCACACACACTCTCACCTTACCTTGTTGTGTATGTTCCCCTTTCTTTGTGTATATGAACAAGGAGTAGAAGAGGGTGGGTGTGAGGGGAGAGTGTGCGGGGTAGCTCTTGAACAAGTGGTGAGGCGGAAAGTCACTACTAGCCACTACCGGCAGAGCTGGGAGGACGAGTGTAAATTCAGTGACTGTAAGGCTTCGGCTTTGTTGTGTTTGCTCTTTTTTTCCCACTGCTGCTCTGTATGCCAGTCTTCTCGAAATTATGATTGTGGTAGAAAGCCGGGGGCTGTATCCAGTGGTGTAAGCAAGTACTTGGCAGCGAGTAGAATGGGTTGTGAGAGCTGCAGATGGCATGTAGGGCACGAAGAGATGGAGTGCAAAGCCAAGTGGACGGTCAGGGCATACAAGGCAACACCCGGCAATCCCTCTTCGCTTGTCTCCATCGCAAGCCTCTTCTTCTCACCCCTGCATGCACAAGACGGAATGAACAGCTCAGCATGGCCACATGCATGCTCCATGCACGCACGTCCTTGTATCTCCCAACACCCACCTCCTATGTCTCTCTGATCTCTTTCCCTACTAGCCCCTCATGCTCGCTGCCCTTCCCTCAACCCTTCTTCAAGCCCCCTCCCCTGTGCTATAGGAGGCTTACCAACAATCTCTTGACAGGAGCCATCCCTCCATCCATTGGCGAATTGATAAACCTTCGATCGCTGTCAGTGTTGCTGTGCCTCTGTTTCTCCTCAACGCCCCTGGCCTCCTCACTCATCCTTTCAACGTGTCACGATCTGACTCTTGGTTGACTGTGAATCTGTTCTGTACCCACATGCCCATTCACCTGCCTTTACCTCTCCTTCCTGCTAGCATGGACTCTGTGGAGACCTTTCACATCGCCCTCTTGCATTCATCGCTTCTCTCACTCACCTCCTGATCGTTCTTGACACCTGCCATCTGCTCACCTGCACACACACTCTCACCATGCTTTGATTTGCCATTGAGATCGCTCTCTGGTTCGGGTTGGCTTGCCTGGTTCTAACGTTGAGGTCCAATCGAGGATTTCTCGATCGAGATTGTTTTCAAGCCACTCGATACTTGAGTAAAGAGGCCGAGCAGTTGTTTCCTTGATCGAGGATAGTTGTAACTTTGGTCGAGGATAACTAGAGCAAGGAATACTTGGGCCCCCAACCTACAGTGGATCTGATTTTGGGATACGAATTTAACCTTCGCTTTGACTCCTCACGTTTCTCTCCCCCCAATTCCCCCTCTCCAGTGATCTCGCACACAACTACCTAACAGGTCCCCGTCCCGTTCTGAAGACCTTGAATCTTGAGTACCTCGGGCTTTCTGACAACTACTTGTCGGGTCAACTGATTGCAGAAAACTGTCGTCAAGGCCTTATCGATGCCAACTGCTTCACACAGACCAAAGCCTGCCGTCCTGAGTTACAGCGACCCGCAGCACAGTGCACAGCGTTTTGTGGCATCTCCAAGACCACTGCTGCATGTGGCGGCCATGGCGTATGCTATCCAGACGGGCCCAGCTTGGTGCCCACGTGCTCGTGTACTTCGGGATGGGTGCAGTTCGAAGGAAATTGCATTGCAGCAGGTAATCATTTATTTCTAGCTCGCGTTCAGAGTTTATGATTACAATGTGAAGGTAACGCATGGCCACACTAGCACTCGCTGTACGGATGTCACTCTCTTCATTTGCCTCGCATGCCCTCTATAGCCAATTGTTTCACGGCTCCTGCCTGGCACCACACATCGGGTGCCCCACGCCTCTGCTGCACTCACCCAGCTTATCCAGAGCAAATGACTGCCCCCCTCAAAGGGCTGACCACATAACTTACTGCGCTCACGTTTTGTTTTCCTCCTTTCTTTCTTTCTTCTTCCAATGTTTTTCTCTTCTGGATCTCCTTTACAACTTCTCAGGCTGGGTTCAAAGAAACCCCATCCGCATTCTTCCTCCATTAACTTCTCTCACCAAGGGCACAAAGAAGAGAACAGTGGGGCGGTTCATGGCGAAGCCAGTGACCCTGTTTGCGTACCCCCCTGGTGTGACCTCGCGATGTAGCTTGGAGTTGGCGTTTAGAGTCAACTCCACCTTTGCTCTCGTGCCCCAGTCTGGTACTGCCCGGTCCAACGGCTTTGCGTTTGTGATCGCAGCAAAGCCCAAGATGGGGAGACGTGGTGGTGTAGGGTATGCTGGAGTGGGGGCTCGGAGCATAGCCGTTGTGTTCAAGACACTTCAAAACGACAACCAGAGTGATACAATCGAGCAGCACGTGGGGCTGAGCATCAAGGGCATGGAGGAACCCTTGGTGACGGAGGTATCACCATTCGAGGACAGCAAGGTCTACAAGGCATGGGTGGACTATGAGCCTGGGGATCCCGGCACCATTCAAGTGTTCCTGGCGGAATCAGACACGAAACCAGAGGAGCCGTTGCTGCAGGGGAGGCTGTCGATGTGTGCGGTGCTGCAGGCTGGAGTGCGGCAGCAAGCGTTCTCGTTTGGCTTCGTGGCGTCCACCACTGTGAAGCCCTTCCAGCTAAACAACATTATCTTCTCTTTCATGCAAACAGGCAAGGATATGCCAATTGGGGTGATGGTGTTGGCCATGACTGTCTGCATGATGACACGATGTAATGTAAGGTATATGGGTGGTGCTGGTGCCAGCTGGTGCTGCTAATGTATTGGTGGCATGAAGGATGGTGTTTTATGATGGGCAATGCCGGCAATGATACTTTGCGTCAATTGGGCTGTGGCAGGCTGGAGCTAGTTTATGGTATCTGATCGGCAGGATCTCTGTTTGCTAGCTCTTCAATTTGTTCTCTCCCTATCTGAAAGCTCAACCATCCTGGCCTGCTGTGCTTTTTTATTTTTTTGCTTCCGCCTTTCTCTCCTCGTAGGCTTTCCTTCACCCAAGTCAGCCCAGATCACAGAGCAAGGTGAGCACTCTGGCGAATGCCCAGTAGCAAGGTGTAGGGCATCCGCAAGAAGCTGCAGGCTCCGGATGAGGTGCACGTGTGTGTCTCAACCGCCATTTGCCAAGAGCCGCACCTAGTTTTCCAGATCGCATGCTTGTTGGACTTACTTGGGTGCTCCAGCCGGTACCTCTTCCAGCAAGTGGGACTCGCGAGCAGACTGGGGGGCTGATTATGACATTTGCAAATTCAGGCCCTGCCGTGTCTCTCAACTACTGCTCTCCCTCTATTCCCCAAGCACAACTCTCCTCTCCTCCACCCCTTCCCACCCCTCACAGCCCGAGGCCTCTCATTATCGGAGGCCACATTTGCCCCACCTCGAGGCAGCCCCTTCTCGCGCTACGTGAGTGCGGACTTCAAGCTGTCGACCACCAAAGGGCCCTCGTGGAGCATCCGTGACTTCCACACTTGGGACTCCGTGGGCTTCCTTGGCTGGCCTGTCAAGAACCAGAACGACTGCAGTAAGTGGAAGGAGAAGTGCACGCTCCCATCTCATATCTGGCGCGCTTTGGCATTGCCTGTAAGAATATGTTTTCCTCCTAGTGGCCCATGATTTGTTCAATGTCAATTGCTCTTATGTTCTTGTTGTCAGACGATGTTGTAGTTTGCACCGCAGCGTTACACAAGGCAGCAAATGCCACCGTGCTTTAGTCTTCCCCACGGACATTACATGCTTCTGTCTTCCCCGTCTACTTTTCAGATGCCTGCTGGGCGTATGCGGTGTTGGCGAGTGTGGAGGCGGCATACGGCATTGCAAAGCAGCAGAGCGCTCCCCAGCTCTCAGTGGAGGCGCTCTTTGCGCTCATGGGGCTCTCCGACTCCGATAAGTGCTCCGCTGGCGGCTCCCCAACCCGGGCCTTCGAGATGCTGGTCGCTCTTGATGCCAGCAGTGGGCTCACAGGGGACAATGACCCGGTAGGGCCAACAGAATGGAACGTTGTATGTGAGGCGAGATAGAGTCAAAGATGTACCATACCATTTTCCATTCTTCAGAAGAATGAATGTATTCACATACTTCGGGGATGCTTGCTTGCGTTTCAAACTTTGAAACTTGTTGCTGAAGCAATTTAATCAAGGAGCGACACTGGTTTGGAGAAAGAGAATTTTATATTTCTGTGTTTTCGGCAGTGCCTTGACTTGTACGTTTGTTTTTTTTTTTTTTGTAAATCAGTCACCTTATCGTGTCATCTTTTATCTTCCTCAGAAGGGACATGTCATACTTCTACCATTTTTTCCTTTCCCTTCTTGCTTAACTCCTTAGAAAAAAAAACACATTGTTCCCCCCTTTCCAAGTCATCCCACTCCCACCCCCACCCCTACCCCCACCCACAATCAACCAAACCCCCCCTTTTCCCTCCGTTGGCAAGCCGCGACTCTGCTCTGCTGGAGCGCGGTCGACCAAGTCGTGCTGGCACGCGGTCGACCGTGCTGCGCTGGCAGTCGACCAGCAGCCTTGCTAGGTCTGATGTAGTCTGTGTTGCTAATATTGATTCAATCATTCTGAACTTTTGTTCTCATGTTTTCCTAGTGAAACACTTGCCAATTTTCCCTCTGAACTAGCAAGCATTGTTAGCACTTGGAAACGAGTAAAGAACGAACGAACGCCATGATCAGTCTTGCCCCGTGCCTAGCCCGTAGAATAGCTCCCGTTGCACGAGTTATCCGCAAGCTTTCCACCACCCGCTGATCCACCACACTCCACAACATCCAGGCTTTGCTCCTCTCTGACACCCCAAGGAAAATGCCCCATTGTGCCTTAGGATCCAGCTTCCTCCGTTGCTGGTCGGGCACTTTGTACTGCGCCATGCACCCCCAGACTCGTGCCATGGACACGCTAGAAACCTTCCTGGTCCACATGAAGTATGGGCTCTTGCCCCCTAGCCCTTTGCTGCCCATCCGGTTTTTAACCCAGTTGACATATTGCACTGCTGCCCCCCACCAAGTATGGTCCAGCTGAGCAAGCATGGCTCAGGCAAGGTCAATGAGGGTCCGGTTTAGCCGCTCTGCTGCCCCATTTTGCTGCGGCGTTGTGAGGATCTGGTTCAGGAAAGATTAAACTATTGAATAATGCACCTGGGTACAAGGCGAGGCTATATATAGGCTCGACTCAAAGGCAGTAACCCTGGTGTTACTAGAAGGTTTCGCGGGTCGCGAAGCGTCCCGAACGGGTCCTTCCCGAATTCGGTAGAAGGCAATTCGGTGGCAACCGAAAAGCCTAGAATTCGGTGCACTCAACCTAGTTCGGTGCCTATAACTATAACAAATATAGTAAAAGCAACGAACCTAGGAAATCTAGCAAAAGCAAGCAAAAAAAAGCAAAGCTAAGCTAGATAATGCATAATAAAGCAGAATCAAGCTAGTAAATCATAGCAAAGCCATCGTACTCTCACACGTCCCCCCCTCAAAGCTGGGTGGCGTGAGAAACACCCTGCTTGACAAGATAATTCTTGAGAGCACGGCGTGCGTTGCCCATATCAGCTTCTTCAACCCAACTGTCCTCCGACGGGTCATATCCCTTCCAGCGTATCAGGAACTCGAGCGTGTTGCCGCGTCTACGTCGATGAGCGAGAACTCGTTCACCTCGTACTCTGGTTCATCCTATGCGAGAACAGGTGGTGGTGGCGGTAGCTGGCATCCTTGGAACTGTTGGTTGGGGTCCTTGTAGGGCTTCAGTAGCTGAACATGGAAGGCATTGTGAAGCTTCCACGTAGTAGGTAAGCGCAAGCGGAATGTTACTGGTGTCACCTGTGCCTCAACGTGAAAAGGACCACAGAAGCGAGGCAGGAGCTTGGATGGTAGGTGAGACAGGTTCAAGTTGCGCGTGTCGAGAAGCACCTGATCTCCGACTGCTACGGTGTGATCACGTCGCTGGCGATCGGCATACTGCTTCTGGGAGGTCTGCATCGTGGTGAGGCGTCGCTGAGTCGTCTTCCATAGCTGCTGCATGGTGGTGACAAAGTCATGTGCGGCTTGGATGTGTGCCGGTGTAGTTGGCTGTTGTGGTGTAAGTGGTTCCCGTCCGTAGCACAGGAAGAAAGGAGATTTCCCTGTGGCCGCATGTGAAGCGTTGTTGTAAGCGAACTCAAGGGTCGGTAACTGTATGTCCCAGTGGCTAATGTCGTCTTTGCAAGCTGTGCGCAGTAACTGTTCAACAACCTGATTGAGTCGCTCAGTCTGTCCGTCAGTCTGGGGGTGGTACGCTGAAGACATCGCAAGCTTTGTCCCCAACAATCCCATGAGTTCCCTCCAGAACTTGCTAGTGAACTTTGGGTCTCCGTCTGAGATGAGTGTAGCGGGGATGCCGTGGATGGTGATGATGCGGTCAAAGAAGAGGCGAGCAGTTGCTTCAGCTGTAGCCGTGGCGTTGGTCGGGATGAAGTGACCCATTTTAGAGAACTTATCGATCACCACGAGTATAGCGTCATGCCCTCGTGAGGTCGAAGGAAGTCCCGTGATGAAGTCGAGGCTAACAACTTGCCATGGCTGCTCCGGTATGGGTAGAGGCTGAAGTAACCCTGCTTTTTTCTGCTTGCTACTCTTCATCTGCTGGCACGTGTCGCATGAGGTGACAAACTGCTGCACGTCTGCTGCCATCCGGGGCCAGTAGTAATACTTCGCTATTCCCGCTAACGTCTTGTTGCTCCCGAAATGTCCAGCGTATGCCACATCGTGGAACTCCTCCAGTAAGATCTGTCGGAGCGGGGCATAGTTCGGCACCCAAATATTTCCCGATCCCGTTCTTACAGCTAAGTCATTCTCCCACTGTAACAACTTCTGTTTCTTTGCTGTAGCGATCTCTGCGTCCACGGAGTACCCATGCTGGAATAGACCCTTGAGCAGAGGGTTCATCCCGTCGAGTTGGATGCCTGCTACATGACCGGGGCGGCTTAACACGTCAGCTTTGTTGTGGAGCCCGGGCTTGTAGACGATGTCGTAGTCGAAGTGGGTCTCCAAGAAGTCCACCCACCGCACCTGTCGTCATGAGAGCGTCGGCTGCGACTTCAGGTATTTGAGGCTGCACTGGTCAGTGTAAACTGTAGTCTTGGCTCCCTCTAGGTAACACCTCCACGCTTTGAAGGCTGTGACTATCGCTAAGGCTTCCTTGTCATGGATGGGGTAGTTCAGTTCTGCTCCGTGTAGCTTCTTACTGAGGTAGGCAATGGGCTGCAAACTGCGTCCGTGATCTTGCATCAGTACTGCTCCGACTGCTTAGTCACTAGCGTCTGCTTCCACCACGTAGTCTCTATCTGGATCCGGTAGGATGAGTACTGGCGCTGTAGTCAGTGCTGTCTGTAGATCTTGCGGAAGAACAAGTTCTACGTGAAGCTGTCGAAAAGCGACTTCGCCCTGAAGAAGGTGCAGTTTCTCGGGCACATGGTGAGTGCGGAGGGCGTACACGTGGACCCGTGGAAGATATGCGGAAAGTACCGAGAACGTGAAGGAGTTGCAGCAGTTCCTAGGGCTTCGCCAACTACTACAACAGGTTCGTGCCGCAATACGCTAAGATAGCAGCGCCACTGACCAACCTACTGAAAAAGGATACGCCCTATAAATGGGATACTCCTCAACAGCAAGCCATGGACTCGAAGACTTTCCGTAGATGCTCCACGTGCTCCTTCATATTCTTGGAGCAGATCAGTATGTCGTCCAGGTACACCACCACGCATTCGTCCAGCAGGGGCCATAGGATGTGGTTCATCTCTGCCTGGAACGTCGCTGGTGCGTTGCAGATTCCGAACGGCATCACTAGATATTCGTAGGAGCCGTATCTGGTACGGAACGCCGTCTTGTGGATCGAGTTGTCTGCCTTCTTGATCTGCCAGTAACCCGACCGTAGGTCCAGCTTCGAAAACACCGTCGCACCACGCAGTTGGTCTAGAAGATCGTCTATGCGCGGTATGGGGTATTTGTTCTTGACTGTCTGTTTGTTCAGTGCTCGGTAGTCGATGCACATCCGTAAACTACCGTCTGGCTTTGGAGTGAAGAGAACCGGTGCGCCGTAGGGAGAGGTGGATGGGCGGATCAGTTGTCTTTCCAGTAGATACTCTATCTGTTTCTTCATGTCTGTCAGTTCGGTTGGACTCAGTCGGTATGGTGCACGTGAGACGGGTTTCGCACCTGGTTCTTCCACGATCTCGTGCTCGTGGGTTCGCGCTGGAGGCACTCCTGCTGGCAGGTCGTCTGGCATGATGTCTTTGTACTGCTCCAATACCTCCCTTACTGCTGCAGGTAGCTCCGAGCTCGGCTTCTCCTCCTCTGCTACTACCATCACCAGTACTAAGTAACCCGTGTTACTCTCGTTCACCGTCCGTTCGAACCGTGCCAGTGTCGTTTCAGGAACGTCTCCTGTATCCGTCCAGCTTCGCAGCTCCACACATTTCCCGTTGTTGTAGATACACGCCTTTCGGTTGACCCAGTCTATCTCGGGGTTGAACCGCTTCAAAAAATCACGCCCCAAGATGAAATCTAATCCCTTGACGTTCGTGATCGGCAACGTCGGCTTCCACCTCAACGCCCCTATCTGTAGCTGCAGTGTTGACTCACCGTGGATGGGAAGCTTCGTACTGTCCACCATCGTTGCTGTAAACTGGGTTGCCTCCGATGACTCTCCAATTTTCTCCAACGTCCCGCGGTCGCACACCGAGTGGGACGCACCACTATCCACCAGTGCCTGGAGGCGTCGCCCGTTGCAGATCACCTCGAGTACTAGTGGCTGCTGCCGCTCCGAGTAGCTGTAGATGGTGTTGCTTACAGGATCATAAGGTAGATCAAATGTACCGTCCCTTGGTCCTGCGCTCGAAGCTGCTGACTCCATATCAGTTTCAACTTAGCAGGGTTAGAAGGATTTATCCGAGGCCGATTCAGCTTCTCTAGGGCCTGGAACCTTCCCCTAAGCCTTTGCAGCGGTGTGGGCTTTGCCTGTGGGGAACAGGGAGCCTTTAAACAGTGCTGGGAGA